CGATGTTCCAGTGAGCCTGCAGGTCGTTCGCATGTTCCAGTCAGTGGAGAAAGGTCAAAACACCGCAAACATAAGGAAAGACAGGGTAACACGTAGAGCCTGGTACTCCATGTACACGGTTGTATTCCCAGTTTCATGGGGAGCAGATACCTTTAGTACCGTAAAAAGTACCGTACTCCATTGCACCGCGGCCAGAGACACGACTCGACTCGCCTCAACTCAACTCGACTCAACTCGGCCCCACTCTTCTCTCCTCTGCATCACAGATCACAGAGCTACTCGTAGATTTTAGATATTCCCCTATCAATAGTGCAGAGCAAGGCACCTAAGGGTGGCAATTGAAATGCATAGTAGTCGATTGGTGCTGGAGTTGGACTTTGGCTGGTGTTGGTCCGCGAGAGGAGCCAGGGGAAGGCCAGGCAAATTAGTCTGGGGGCGGGTCCTAGCTATTGTTGTTTGGCGAAGGAGCTGGGACCTGGTGGTGGTCTAAGAGTGAGGACTGGAGTGTTCTCTCCAGAAGGGGCACCGGGCCCCACAATCGGTCTGGGGGTGGTCCAGGGATGGGTCCAGGGATGGGTCCTGGAGTCAGTCGTGAAGTAAAGATGAGGAAGATTTTCTGGAGTCTCACCTTCAACTACATGTAACTGTGTCTCTGGCGCTTGGCAGGTCGCTCCTTGGACTTACGATCTATTTGAGGCCCGCTTGTTGTACAGGCTGAATCCAAACTATCGAGACAAACGCAAGCCCGCTCCCGGTAAGACATTCGAATGCGAACCGGAACCTCTTGGAACGTTCCTTGAAAAGACTTAGAGGACTCGTATTAGCCTCAACCCTAACCTCAACTGACATCACTCGGATCGATCGATCCGATCCAAGCCATGCACTAGCTAGTACATACACCTCTTCTTTCATTATTCGATCGATACCTCTATCTTTACTCTATCAAGATGATGCTTCCTCCTCTTCTTTACAGCGGCTACTCCTCTTAACAAAGGCTACTACTCACCACCATGACAGGCTCCTCTCGTTTGGTGGAAACTAGGAGCAGCGGCAGCCGCTCGACGGATTCGGTTGACGACGGATCGATGACTTCTTTCAACCATGACGCCTCCTCTTCCACAGAGCGACGACGCCTCTACCACAACAAGCGACTACTACTAGAGCGACAAGCGACGCCTCATCAACGGCACTGGCAACAAGTTTCTTCGGTTCGGCGGATTCGATTCTGTCTTCTTCCTGATTGAATCGTCGTTTCGGTATTTCTTTCGGTGGCACGGAGCCTCTGTCACGCCGCGACCATGAGGATCGCTTCCTCTTCCACGGAGTGACGAGTCCTATGACACTACTACTACAAAGGAACAAGCGACAGCCTCTCTACTACTGCTTCGAGCAATTGACTGACTACAAATGTGAAATCTGCACAATTTTTGCCATGGTTGAGCCAACAATCTCCTTTGAATCTTTGGGATGGGTGCTCCAGTCTTCATGCAGAGCCACCCCCTTCTCTACCAGACTCTACAGTGCAGATTGAGTGCTGAGAGTGAGGACAGGAACACCTTTCCCATGGAGAAATGCATGGCAGAATGACAACAAAATGGAATCCAAGCCTGACTTTTCCTGGATGCTCCATAGGAAACCTTGGAGATAGCAAATCCTTTTTGAGGGGTGGCTCTGTGAGTGTGTTGGGGAGCTAGTTCTAGAAAAGGATTTGCTATCTCAATGTATTGGTAAAGCTAATGGCCATTTGGTCAACTCTGTTGCCATGGTGATAAAATTCATTTTCTTTTCTTCAATCTGTTCTTTGCGGGAAGCAGTTATTGCTATGCAGGATTCACAAAATGACCACTTCTGTTAGAAATGACCGCTTTTGATTTCGGTTTGGCCAAAACGAGAATCCATTTTGACACCTGTCAGCGGTAAAAGAAGTCATCCTGTATTATTGAGAGAGGCGCTGGGCGCGCCATTCGGGCTAATAGAGCTGTCGAGCGTCTGAGTTGGCCCACTCTGCACACGTAATAAGAAACAGATCTGAAGCGGAAGCCACTCGAGTAGTTGCTTGCTTGTACAGGGCCTGTAGATTTCATCTGGCTTTTGCCCAATTTGGAATTGGATAGGGTATCGGTATCAGATTGACACAAAAGATACTTTTGCGCATTGATACGCCTACATACCGTGCATTACGTCTGCTTTGAAATCTTGCAACCCAAATTATCATTGAACCCAACCCTTCCAACCGCCCCGCATTCATGATGATGGTGTTGAATCGATTGGCGGTCCTGCTGTTGCTGGGCGCCCAAGTGGAGGTCGCCAGTGGATCATTCGTGGTCAATTACATGGCCGAGTTTACGTATTTTCGAGGATTCTTTTGCTTCGGCCCGGACCCAGTGCTAATGGCCGTCTGCGAGAACGGTCAAATCGAGGCTGGGGAGACGTTGCCGGAAGAAATTGTTTGTGAACTCGTGGAGGATTCGAATGATCTCCCACTAGATGCTGCTTCTGCCGTACGCTGCACCATGGGCAGCTGCGACGGGGAGTCTTCTTGCAGTGATGATTCTTGGAGAACCATTAGTGATCTCAGTAACGGGAACTTTGGCGTGATTCACTATACTTGCACGGGAGAGACGGCCCAAGACGTGGGATCCTACTTTGCCTACCTCAACGAAGGAACCGGAGGTTGTGCAGCTTCTACTAGTATTTGGCTCGACAACTTCAACTTCCACGTCGCTCGATTGAGTGTTTGGTGCCCGCCTTTTGAAGGCGTTGAGGACTTTGTCAACGAGGATACCTTCACGGAATGCTCACAAGGGTTTGCTAGGCCCGAAATCCTCTATTCAGGACCGTTTGATGCCCTGAACTGTATCTCGGGAGACAACTGCGAGTTCAGCAGCTGCGACGAAGTCGACTATGGAGATCTCAAAGTGCTTGCCAGTCCCCACATGTATGAGCACTGCATCCAATCTGACGCTGTGGTTCCGCAGATTCAGGAGCCCCAAGTCGAGCCTGCGCCGATGCCGGGCACCTATTCTGCGACGTTTGCCGCTTCCTTTGGTTTCTTCATGGTAGATGATGAGTATTGGTTCGACAAATCTGGTTTGTGCAGCGCCGAGACGCCCACTACATCCCTCAGGATCGTCTGCGAACAAGGTGGGACGATCTCTTTCCGAGATTCTTCCGCCCCCACGATGACTTGCGATCATGACGGAACTGATACCAGTGCCTTGATCTGTCAAGACACAGAACCCCTTAGCAGAGGGGATTCGAATTTTGGCACAGATACCTCGACCTACTACAACTACTTCCAGCAAATCGAATATGTACGCAAGCCCCCATGGTCCCATTTCTTCCTCGTCTCGTAGGTTTGCATTGTCTTTGTCTAACTAATACTGTCTACGCTGCTGCAGGAGTGCTCCACTGAAGACTTTTATCCTACCACAACCATTACCTATGAGCAGGAAGAGCTGACATGCTTGGATTTCTATAGTACGGATACCTTCGTGCGCCATGCGCTTCAGCTCGGATTGTACTGTGGCGGTCAATTTACAGGACAGTATTACTACGAAGACACATTCGCGGAGTGCCAAGACGCTGAAAACGAATTTATCTATCTCGACGAAGACGCCGATCGCTATATTATCGGAGAGGAGCCCCGCTTTACATGCCTGGGCGTGCCTGAACTATTGGACTACGAAAGCTACCAGTATGACCGGGAAGCTGATGGCGACTACAACGAATGGATGGAGAATAGAGGAATCCAAGCTACGATTACGTCTCTTACGATTCAGTCGGAGGCAACATATCGATTTCCGGGAACCGATGCTGCTAATTGCCTTGACTTTACTGCTTCCTCTTCGTCTTCAGCGGCTTCAGCCGCTGAAACGCCTTCGGAGATGCCCACTACCCCGAACAATGCCACGGGCACTTGTACTGACACTCCCAATTGGGCTGACAGCGCTAACGATACTTGCACATGGTATGAGGACGGAGACAATTGTGCCGTATATGGGTCCGGCAATGCTGGAGCCGATGGAACCACTGCGGCTGAGAGCTGCTGCGTCTGTGGAGGCGGGACCATGGTCTCGTCGGTGGTCAAGTCTGGGAAAAAGTGGTACGATTGGTTGCCTGGTGAGTCCGGATTTGGATTCTAAATGGTTGCAATTGACATGAGGATGATGAAAGCCGTCGTCGAAGCCTCCCAGCTGTCTTCCACTGCAGTGCAATGCATGTATGTATAAGAGTTACATATAAGTAGTATTTCGTGAGATCTGCAGCATTGTTGCTGTTTGGTCGCATCTCTAGTCCGCTGTCAACCTTCTTCCATTCGACGGGAGAGTCGCTGAACATGGCCATGCCAAATCGCTTGCATCTCCTGGTAGGAACAGGGAAAACCACTGGAGTCGTCTGGATTTCCCTGATCCCTGCAATTAAAACTCTGTATCTAATATCCCTACATCGCGGCCACGCCCATCACTGGTGCGGACGGCAACAGGCGGTGGCATCGGGCGAGTCCTACAAGCAGCCTAAATGAGTGCTGATAAACCACCGTCAGGGTTGATATGATTGACTCGACTCCTTTACAATCGAATCGAATCTGTTCAACCAGCCACATGCATTAGACCCATATTGGCTGGCTGGTCAAGGAGTGGGACCTCGTGGTGGTCCTCTAAGAGCGAGGACCGGAGTGGTTCTGGCCCTGGAGTTGACCCTGGAGTGGGGACTGGAGTGGAGACTATCTTATCTCTGCGGGGCAGCGCTGCGTCCAGGGTTGGGTCTAGTAGGTGTTGGTCCCGGTGATGGTCCTGGTGTTCACTCGACTCGATTCTGGCCTGCCTCTACACCTTCAACCACAAAGTCTGGCAGAGGGCAGAGTGAAAGTGCAAAGGAGTGGAGGCGGTTTTTCGTTTTTTTTCGTTTTTTCCCTTCAGCGAAAGGAGCATCGGGCCGGGGTGGCTTTCCTCATCAAGTGCGTGAGGCCATGTTGATGTTTGACCTTTGACATCCCCTTTTGACCATCATAGGTGTCATACTTGACACCGGTGAAATCTTGATCATATTACATGTAGCTGTTCCCGAGGAAGGCACTTGAGGTTGGACCTGTGGCAATCGAGAGCAGTGTAAAGCGGTGAAAGGCAGAAATCTGATTGGCTAGTCAAGCTAATATGTCAGCAAATACGTCAGCAAATATTCAAAATACTTAACGTACCATTTATAACTCGTAGCCCGTACAGGATGGTACCAGCACGGTAGACCTACTGTAGACAGAGGTGCGCAAATAAATAATGACTGCACATTGCATGCTTGTGCCGGTACTGGTACCGGTACAGTACAATATTACACCACAGCGACTCCTCTGCATCACAGAGCCATGAGCTGAGCTATGGTACTCGTGTACTCGTACTCCGAGTAGATTTTAGATGTTCCCCGATCAACAATAGTTTCAGAAGGCAGCTGAGGAGCTGAGGGTGGCAATTAATTGAAGTGCGTAATAGTCAATGGGTGCACAAGTGGCTGCGCACGGCAATCCACAGCTCTCCACCAGCCACACATCACAACACAGAGACTCCTCTGCATCGCTGAGCTACCGTAGCTAGATATTAGTTGTTCCCTCACTAATAGTCCAAAGTCCAACAGCCACTGGTTGGTAGTGTACACCTGCATTGTAGCTGTACCACAGCTCTGGCAATTGACAAGCATTGTGCTTGACGCTTGACGAGTGCAGTGCACGAGCGCCACACGGAATTCCAGAACCTCCACTGAAGCAACTATGTCTGGATTTCTTTGTAAGCGTTGGCCGTCCCTTCCACACGCTTGACTCGACTCGACTCACTGCGTAGCTCTGCGTTGGGATCGGACAGGTCTGTCTTGCGCAAGACCAACGCCTGAGGCTGCTCGGAGTTCTGCGGATGCAACAACGAAGATTGATCGTACAGAACTCACGATAGTAGTGCTGTTACGGTAAAAGAGAAGGCTATCCTTAAGCCTCTAGAGCTCTCATTTAGAGGCGCTAGTTAATGATCAGTCCCATTGTTGATCTTGCTCGGACATTTTGTTAGAAGTAAAGCGTGTGGACATGTTCTAAATCTATTTGAATACTAACCCCTCCATGCACCTTCCTAGCCATTATCGGTCCTTCAATGACTTGATATTAATTCCTTTGGAGCAGAACAAGAGCCCATGAGCCCATAGATTTAGCAATTATGAAAAATGTCCAAGATGCAAGATTCCTTGGCCTTCACACAAGAATCGAATCGTCATTCGGATCCAACAAGCAAAATCACTGTAGGAAGTTCTGTAGTTATGCAGAAGTGCTCTTAAGGATTTCTTCAAGGGGCAGTCATTAATTCCAGGATCCAGCTACCCAGCAGGACCTTGCGCGCACTCCCCAAACAAAGCCAAAGAGCTGCCAAAGCTCCACCACTTCTTTCTCTTCCCATACTTCAAAACTTATAACCTCGTACATCTATCTGACAGCAGGATGTGTACTATCCGTAGCCAACCAGCTCTCACCATGACCGACAATGAAAAACCTCCCTCATGTGCAGACCGCGAGGAAGGAAAGGAACAACTAGGCCCATTTTTGTGGCTTGACGATGGCGACGAATCGGTTTCGTCTTTGGAGTCAATGGCGTCCTTTGAAGGCGACGATGATCATCTGCTCGGAAACGACGAATCAGCTCGTGAGAATCCACAACGACTCGCCCCACGTAGAAAGACCAGGACGAGTGCACTCCGTCGTGTAAGATCGTTGGATGACACGGTCTCCCCCACCAGCGTTGCCAGAGTGACAGTCGCTGATCACACATCTGGCGCAAGGGATCGACCGAACAGGAGATGGGGCTCGAGCGGGAGATTGACGACGACCGGCAGTCTACACACCAGCTCTAGTGAGCCCATGGCTCAGCTTTGTGAACGGTTGGGAGCTCAGAACCTCGGAAACGGCAACTACACTTCGGCGAGTTGCCGAGATGTCACAAGGTGGAATGGGGGACAATGCCGCCAGACGATTCAGGAATATGGATCTCCCGGGACACCGAATCGCAGGAGTAGGGGCAGAGATATGCTTGCAGGCAAAGCCATACCTCGTTGCTCCACGGGAACTCATGCTACAACGTCCAGCAACCACAGCAGCTCCGCCTCTTCGGGTGCCGTAGCAGCTGGTTTGGAATCTCCAGCGACCACCCATGCTAGCAACACTCGATCACGAAAGAGGTTTTCCTCGAGCATGGTCAATCCAAAACTGACCGTGGCAGATACCAGCGGCCTTCGCCGCAGGCGCGGGGCACGCGACATGCTTCAAAGGCGACAGCAAAGCGAACGAAGTCTCATCTCGAAAGGCCGTCTTCGGTCTCTATCCAGTTTTGATTCGCCTCGATTGCCTTCTCGTAAAACGACCAACGACAGTATGAGCAATGAAGCCATCCGGGCGGTTGCGGCTGCCTTTGAGAAAGCAACGGCTGCATAGATGTACATAAACCTGCAAAATGCGCAAACAAATTACAACAAACTAGCTACCGAGACCTACGCATCGTTGTTTTCTATGGTGTCGTTTACTAGCTAGCTACGTAGCTAGTACCGGTGCTCTAGTAGAGGAGTTCACCTCGGTACGTACCGGCCGCGGACTCTGGTGTATGTGCATACAATTGCTACTAGTGCGAGCCACCGGCTAGCCTATCTACCGGTATAGCTACGGTGCCGTAGCCAGCTGAAGTCGTGTCATGATGTGAGTTTACGAGGCAGACTTTTCAGGCAGGTAGTTAAGGCAATTATGGGGTTAACCTTAAATATTTCTCTTCAATACTACCATAAGAGCTACCATAAGTAGAATCTGTAATAATTATTAATATTACCATATCTACCGGTACTAGTACCAGAATATCGTACTAAAGGTGTGCCGGTACTACTAGTACAGTAGTACCTACCAGACGACGGAACGATGGCAGCTTGAGGTGAGCAACATTGATCAGAGTTGATGCAACCAGGCATGACACAGGCATGATCGAACACGGCTTGTCACAGGTTCCCAGCTACCGGTAGCCAGTACCGGTATCCTTGGGACGGTCAGAGGAGGCGGCCAGCAAGAGCTGAATGATTCGATTCAATCAATCGCGGGCCCATGTCAATCGTACACCCCTTGTACGGCCGGGTGTACAAGTCCTGTAGTTCTCGGGGCTCCATCGAACACACCCCTCTTCCCTTGAAACACTTCTGTTGAAGAAAGAATGTGCAACAATCATGTTTTAAAAGGTCCTCGGTCATCCCCCGAAAGATCGTACAGGGAACCCTGCTTGGGAGGGCAAGAAGCTTGCTAGCTGCTTGCGGAAGGGAGAACCGCAAGAATCGAACGACGAGAGGCTCAGGAATTCTCGCGTTCATCTGGCTGCTTCCTCCCAGATTCTACGAGCTATGTCGCGAAGGCGTTCCTTCTGAACTGACCATCGAAATCTTCATTCTCATGTCGCAGAGATGCGACTACTTACTCCAGAGCGACTCCAGAGTACAAAGGAAGGCATTACGAGTACTGCCCAGGCAGCTCGGCGATCCTGTTAATCTAGTTTTCAAGAAGAGTTTGCTTACTTTGCTTGCACCTTGTGCTGGTCATACGATTCTAGCAAAAAAGTGACTGAACTATTAATGAGTTCGTTGTAAGTTTGGTGGCTGATCACGGATGCTTTGGCCATCAAGCAAGCAAACAACAGAAAGCAGAAGCTTGCCACAAAGAGGAAGCAAGCAAACCACCACCACTCGAAATGTAGGCATTTCCTGATGACTTCTTATGGCAAGCCGAGTTTCTATCCGACTACATCCCTTTGAAGATTCTCCGCAGCTCTCTACGCCTACTAGTCCAGCTAGCTAGTAATAAGTTTCTTTGCGGTTCGCGGGGGTGGGTTCGATCCACCGGAGCGGTGTCAGATGGCTGACAGGGGAGTGATGTACTAAAAAGACGATGCCCCAGCTAGTAGAGCAGGCCTTCTTACGGTACTAAATAATGCGGTACCAAAAACCGCCTCGATCTTGCAAAAACTTCGGATGGCAGAGCCGATGGCAGACTGAATGACTGAATGAGATTATCATCTATCTTTGACCAATGAGATGACGGACTGAATGAGATGACAGACTGAAGAGATGGCTCAGATAGATGCTGTTGTCCTGTTGATCTTCTCGAGTTCTCAAGTACATGTACTGTACTCTCTAGGCTGTTCAGTGGTGGTCGCTCAGATTTAGGCATTTTTAAAGAATGGTGGTCGTGGTATTTTCAAAGGCTGCGAATTTGATTTTCGTGGAGCAGCTTTTTAACCTCCAAGTGAGGAACTAAATATAGTACACCCCGAAACATTGATCTGATTAGCCCCCCCACATCCCTTGGTCAATCCCATCATCCCCATACCGATAGTAGCGACAGCTCTGCGAACATCAACTCTAAAGCCAGCTATCTACTAGCTAGTACTAGCACCAGAAGGCGGGGTAGCCATGCCCCAATTAGAGTTAGTATCTAGAATGAAAGTTGTGTAGACCATTTGTTGGAATTTTCCACGCGCCGTATGGTTGTCAGCCCAAGAAAAGGAAGTTGTGAAAACAACCAGAAAAAAGCCACTTGCTAGCCATCCCCTTTGGTCAGCATCTTGGTGGTGTTTGGTAGTCCTGTGGTGGTCCTGTGATGTACATGTACAATGCACATGTACTAGTACTAGTATGTATTGAAGCAAGAAGCAACTCTTCTATTCTGATTACTAGTAGCTTCGGGGTGGTCTTTTGTTTAGTTGTTAGGGGGGCTTCAATAACTTATAGCTACACTATAACAGGTACTAGTACGTTTAAACGTTGTTGGGCCCAACGTCCCGACTCCCATGCTTGACTGTACTCATTTAGTATAGTAAAGGATACTTCATATTGAAGTCTACAATTCGAGATTTAAGGAGGTGAAGAGAATGACTTCAATCGCATTTAAAATTTTCGATGACTTTCGCCAATGATCCAAACGTAACTCCCGCAGCTCCCAATAGTGAAATTCTCTGTTCTGTGTGTCCTTTAAGTTTCACCACCCCAACCATAAGTATCGTAATCATGATTACTAAAGAAGTGGTTCTCGAAACAACCTAGTCTGGTGCCAGGTCGCTACTGTGGAGTGCACTGTGCACTGACAGTGCCACGGTACCGTAAGGGCAGCGAGAGGGAGCATCAGAGAGGGGCTTTTTTCGAATGTTCAGTCTCGTCCAACATCCAAACACACAATTTCAGCTCGAAGGATCAAAGCACAAACATTCCATCAACCACAGCCAACAAACTTGAAAGAAACTAAAGCCATGAGCATCCAAAGTGATATCTCCTTTGACCTCTTTTTGAATCAGATGCATGACTCCATGTCCTCTTTGGGATCGGACGTAACCTTTGAGGATGATGTTGAGGAAGATGTCAGCCCTTCTCAACGTCGCCTTTCACATGCCAACATTCAAGTTCCTCGCACACCACTTCAGAAGCAACGATCCGTTCGTCGACCCAACACTTGCGGAGCAGTCGATCGGCAAAGATGCTTTGGTAGCAAGCCACGCCCACAACTCGAGACAAGAGGGGACATTGCCACCAAGTCCCTGAGACATTTGCTGGATACATCAATGCACAAGGAACAACGTCGATCCATGAGAGGCAACTTCAACCTGGATGGATCGAACCACATGGACAAGAGCGTCCACAGCCAGAGTTTGCGAAGGAAGGTTCTCCCTCGCCAGATGGAACGTCTCTCCAAGATGGCTGCATCCTGCGACACGGACACTACTGCAGACTGCAGTATGCGATGGGCGGCCACATCTGTTCGGACCGCTGGTGACCTTGCAGCAGCAGATGACTCGACGACCGCCCCCAGGGCTCCACAGAGGCAGAACAGTCGCGAAGTGGAGACTGTTGTTCGCAAGAGCCCAGTGCCAACGCCCAAGAAGAGACAGCTACCGCGACGTGTTCGGACTTTGGATGGCAGCGGACACAGTGCTACTGTTGGAGTTGCTGCCCCCTTTATGAAGAGGCTGCCACCACGGAAGTCCAGCAACGGCACCGCGGCAACGGCTGCCAGCTCGTTTTGCGGTTCCTTGGCTACTAGTCGATCATTCGGCGAGGAACGTGATGTCGTCGCTCCCCTCAAGTTGCCTGCATTACTCGCGAAGAAGCCTGATGTGCTCCGAAAACCAGTCCGACAGGTGAGCACTGGTGAAGCGCCCAAGATGCCTTCCTTCACAATGCTCAAGAAGCCTGTAAGGCAGGTCAGCACCGGGCAATCGCCTGTTGTCCCGATTCTCGCCTAAGAGGGCTACCTGTACCTGAAATCACCAGGATTTCCCAGTATTAGCAAGCAGTTTCTTTCATAAACAAAACAAATACAGTTGCCACCATAACAATGCATTCCAACGTCTTCTTTTAGTTAGCTAGCTAGGCACGAAGCCCTGCAGCCCGCGCCCTGAACTCCATGATCCTGCTGGCTAGTAGGACAGAAAACCCAACATGGACAGAGACATTGCAACAGCTGGTGGCTGCAAGGTACTCAACTCTCGGCCTGTTTCAGCTACTAAAAAAATGATTGTTCATCAAGGGGAATGACTGCCATGCTATCGAGGACTGACCAGCAAGACTCCACGGGAGGATCGGAGTTGCGATAGCTGGATACATTCATCTACTAGTATCAGCTTATCTATCTATCATCTACCTCCTGGTATCCTGCAGTGGTCGGGGGTGGAATGTTCCTCTTCGTAGTAGTAAGGAACAACGGTACGGAGCAATAAGCAACCTAGTAAACTGAACCAGTAGCTAGCGAAAAAAGAAGCAAGAACACGTAGTTGGCAGTTGGCTGTTGCAACTCATGGACCTATCCTTGCACTCGGATCCCAGCGAGGGTCCAGGGCCGGAAACGAATGCATCCTCCGGACTTATATCCCTTGCTTGGCTGGTAGTACATCATGATACCGAGGGCACATACGGTACAACCACAGCAGAAGAAGTCATCTGGATGGCTGGCAATCTACAAATCAGACTGCAAGAAGCTCCTCAAGACTTTCAACTTCTTTGTTTCAAAGCCAGCCCACTTCACAACTTTCTGGGATGTTCTTGGACCAGTAATTGCAAGCCACGGCAAGTTGTATTCATGAGTCAGGCCCCAAGGAACTTCTGGACTGTGGGATCATTATTTGGAAAATGGCTTGAGCATGATCATGGTACAGGTTTTGTATGCACTACTTACAGCCAAGGATCTTGGTGATGGCCACTGATGAGCGGATTCGATTCAAGTATGCAAGGTGCGAAGATGCGAGCAGAGCTGCCGAACCTGGAAGCTAGACTACCAGGACCAGGTACAGTACCTGGATGCCTTTGCCCTCGTCATCATGGTGTTGGGTGGGTCCCCACAGCTGTCCCCTAAACTGATACCAGTGATCTCCAATCGGAGAAGCTTGCTACTTTTGCTTGTGTTTACCGGTGTAATGGTTGCCGGTATTGATGAACCGAACAGGTGTACGCTCCATAAATCTTACAAGTGCCTTCCTTCTTTTCTCCCTTCCATATTCTTCTCTTCACAGGTACTGCATCAAGTTGCAAGGACTATGAGTCACACGACAAGAGCAAGGGCAGAGAATGACAAATAGCTTTTGAGGACACTTCCCCGGAAAGAAAAGCTTGAATCGCCACTTTGGTTTCCTTGCTTTTTAAGTCCAGCGAACGGCCATGGAGACTTGTAATTGGGGCCATTACATAATGAGATCTTCTAAGGCGGAGGAGTTTACGATTTAAGTCAACACGTTTGGAGGTCGTGGAGACATTGAGATGGAGTATTGTGCCAATATAAATACTTTGATATTAAGAAACATCGCTGCTTGGGCAAATGGCAATGGCAGCATGCTAATGAACTCCGACTGGACCAGGATGTTTTATTCCCTACTAGCCAGTAGACTAGTCTAGCTAGCTAGCTACCAGGTACTCTAGCAGTAGCCAGACGACACCATAACATGGTGAGAAATGATTGGAGGGCATGTTTTCTACCCTAGGATGAGCCACACAGGATCAGGTCTACTGCGAGACAGCCAATAGGATGCTATTCTGGGTCTTTCTCAGGTCAGCCAACTACAGTACTTTCTCATTTTTAAAAGTAAACCGAGTCGTTTCATCTCCTCGATCATGATGCTGTTTTTTGGGGAGGCAATTAATACTACATGTAACTAGCTAGTACTACCGGTAACCAACATTAGTCTACCTTCTGAAAAGCTTTGAAGGTACTTCTCCTGAGTACAGTAGTACCAGTACTATACATGTTCCAGGTCCGGTATTGCCATGCGGAGTCCAGTGAATATGAATCTTATAAATAAGGTATAAGCATGGCATTTATGAAGGGAATTGTGTGAATGAACTGGCACATACAGGTTCAGAAACAGATGGCTGCACGAAGACGCGAAGGCTGCCATTATTTATTTTGTACCACTGTGCACTGTGCAGCTACAGTCGTACCATACTGTGCACTGTTTCCTTTTGTTTTTTAGTCGTCCGAGTACCGTATCTGGCACTCTGCTCTGACGCTCTGACTACGGTAACTAACTAAAGACTGGCAGAGTCTTTCTTGCCTTCTGGTGCAAGATGAACTTGCAACTCGCAACAACGAATGGTCAAATCCTCGTGACCCTTTCATCACAGCACCGGTTCGCCGTTGTTCGGCAACAGGAAGGCAAAGGTGCGCAATTAATGATTGTCTCATTAGCTGAAAAGACGTCTATCAAAACAACATATCAAAAACAAATCAAAACCATGAGGCACAGTACCAGTAATGAAGGCCCTGCTTCGGGGCAGATCGTTAGTTTCCCCACCGATGCTTCACTGAACGACTCTTTGAGCTCCTTGGGATCGTTCATGTCGTTTGAAGACGAATCGGAGCAATTCTCTGTTGAGATCCAGGTCGAGTTTGAGGTGGATATGCAAGCAATTCCTAGACTAGGGCCCATCAAGAAGCGATCCAGACCTCGATCTTATGGCCACCGGATCCCCACCACCCCCGTCTCCATGGGCGGAAGCCCGCTCTCTCGAACTCATTCTTCTCCTGACCTGGCAGAAGGAGCAAGTCCCAGAGTAGCTCTTCCGTCCAGATGGAGGAGCAAGAGTTGTGAATCCAGTCCTGCCGCTCCGCAACGATCCTCACGAAGACTCATGGGTGGTAACGGCAGAGCTCGCCCCACCATTGCCACTGGCAAGGATGCGACGAGCGACAGTCTTGATTGTGGCAGCGCTCACAGCGCCACCAGCCTAAAGCTCAAGAGTCTCTTGCAACAGCAGCAACTTGCTTCCTCACGGTGGGCTCCCGATGAATCGCACGGCGGCGGCAACAACCAGAACAACAACAGTAGCATCAGTGGAAGGTGGCAAGATTCGGTTGCCACCTGTAATGAAAGCGTGTCTCGTTGGAGTACTTCGTTTACATCCTCGCAAATGGATCAACTCTCCACGAAACCACGATTTCCACGCCGCAAGACTAGCGGGCTCATTGTGGGAGGAACCATGGTGAATACAGACAACGTCAAGGCAGCCGCTGGCAAGAACACAGAGTGGCAGAGCAACAACGGCAGTCAAAACATGTTTCACAACAGCAGTGGGGGTAGTCAATGGGATTTGACAGATACCACAGCCACAGAGACGGCTTCCTTTGCCACTGGACGGGCGACAACGGGGTCGTCCGCCATTGAAGACTTTTCCACGGAGAGTGCTGGCTCTAGATCCACAAATAAGGTTGAGGTGGACTTTGGCAGCTTTGTGCCCAGCACCCCCGAAACCCCGTCTGCTGCTGTCCCCAGGACCACCAGACCCAGGCCTCAACTGCCAAACCGTCAAAAGAGTTTCCGAAGGGGCATGAGTATGGCATTGGTCGCCAAGGCGGCTTTTGTCAACAGACGAGCCAAGTTTGTCAAGCAAAGGAGTGAACCTTCACTACCGGATCGACAAGCGAGTGATTTGACATTGACATCCAGGGCGTCATCCTGTATATCCGAGGACGACACGACTGCTTCCGGTTCCGACCAGAAGAAGTCTAGCTATCGAAGGCAGCGGTCCATGCCCTTGCCATACGCTAGGATCTCGACGAAATCTGAGGAGAAACCAGTTGTCAAGACAAGCGCTCCTGCACCCACTTTGGTGCAAACGTATGGGCTAGCAGACCTTCGAAAGCAAAAGAGTCTCTCCTGCCTTTCCATCGATGTCCCTCATCTTCCCGAACGACAGGTTAGCGAAACGTCGACATTGCTGGGCGACTCAAGTCGTGACAGAGGCACCAACACTGGGGCCCTCCAAAAGCAAAAGTCACTGTCGCATCTTGCACTGACTTTACCGCGGCGGCTACCCAGCGAAGCATCACTCAGGTCTCTGAACCCCGGCGAAAGTGACAGCCCTGAAGAAGCATCCGACAGCAGCTCTTACGAGGGCCTATTGGACTGTTCCACCAGAGTAGTTCTTGCTGGTCCACCTTCACCACCCAAAAGACAAGTCAGCCGAGAGTTTAGCGGCCACAGCAAAAGTAGTAGCCATTCGAAGACAACAACAACTCGTCTTACAAATATGAATAGTACTCCCAAGGTGCCGCAGGTTCTGGACGATACACCAATCGTCATAACGGCAGAAAACCGGCGCCTGTCTTTGACCAAGCAATGGAGCGAGCCAAATGCTTTGTCGCTCAAGAAGCTCATGTTGGAGACTCGGGAGCCGCCAGCATCGGATTGTCGGTCTCTGGATTCTCTGCTCTTGCTCGAACGACCGAATAAACGACAGGCGTTACTGGCATCATGGGGACAAGGGGACCCACATGACGCCTCAACACCCGACTTGATTGCGGAGTGCGGGCGACTATTCCTGCCACTGGCGCAACATCGGTTGCCCCCAGAACGGTCTTGCTCTTGTTCTGGAGGTTCAGCCTAGCAAATAGCTAATATTTCAGCTCAAGATATTTTTTCTTCCTTCTTGCCTTCACATGCTAGTGCTAGAGTACGCGCGAGCCTGTTGCTTTCCGTTCCGCCTCTAGTGCTTGGCTTCGTGTTCTCCCGCTTGTGTAACCCGCATCATTGCAAATGTGAGCCTGTTGCCTTCCATTCCTCCGATAGTGCTCGGCTTATTGTTGCCCCGATTGCGTAGCCTGCCTCATCGAACCACCAACCAGCCTCATCGCTACTGGCTGGTTCGATGCTGCCCACAATACTAAGGTTGCATCGTTGGCCTTGAATTTGTCAACTCCCTTTCCTCGTGCTTTCCAAAACCCACGGAATGGTTGAATTAATTGCTTTCCTCGTGCTTTGCAAAGCCACTGATGGCGAGTTGTGGACCTGAGATGGTTTGAGAGCAGCAGAACCTTCAGATCGTGATGGCACCGGTACTGGTTGCGCTACCGGTAGGTACATGTACCTAGCTAGTACGACTGTAGTCTACTGGGTAGTCCACCGGTACATGTACCAGGTACCAGTGCGAGACGATCATGGGTGGGTGCACCACCGGTAAGCAGAAGCGACGTGTCCGGTTGGCACGGGTCCCGGCACAGTATTTACCGGTAGGTAACTCTGCTGCATTACATGTACACACTCATGTCAGAACCCATTTCAGTTCAGAGAATGAATGAGAATGTTATTTGTTACGATGGTAACCTAGCGAGCTACTAGCTAGTGCTAGTACCTGGTAGAATCCATCAGCTGTTTGTTAGTGGATCGCCTTTGGATTGAGTTGGTTGGGCTGAAGCAATCTGATTGTTGAAGTTTTGTTTCCGATTGGCTCCCAAGGACGATTTACACTGCACTCAACGATCAAGAAGCAATCCATGCACCAGATGGTATTCATTGGCACTTGCTGCAACATCAAACCAACCGCCAAGGCAGTGTCACCAAATCATGTCCTTCTCCAAAGTCACCTGATCCGCTGTATGAATGGCTGGATTCCCGAAAAATAAAAATGCTCCCTCCGGTGTATTGCATGCAATCAGGTCAATCACCGACGCCTGCGTTCCAATTGATCATATCTTGAACGAATAAATCAGGAAGCTCGATTTGATGGTGTGTCATGGCTATCATCAGTTTATCTACTGGTAGCTATTTTAATTAATAGGAAGCTAGAATGATTGAAAGTTGACCTGCCCCTACCGTACTGGTACCAGTAGCAGGCATCAGACCCTGCAGTCGTACCGGTACGGTTGTCACTTCAAGCTTCGACAAGTTTCATGTCATAGAGTGCTGCTGGCTTATTTGCCCAGTATCGCCAAGGCTGACGAAGGCCAGACGATACCAGCAGCAAAACGCTGAAGAGTAAACTCCAGCAGCTTCTCCCATGGCACACAAGCAACTTGTTGACCCCGTCCATCAAAGGTGAACGCTGCGAAGGTGAGATGACCTCGAGCCTCTTTGGAGTTGATGTTTGATTCACGTGTATGGACACAAGATAGATGATTGATGATGTTCTGAGTTTCGTCCAGAACCTTGTGGAAAGTAGAAACCAACTCACAAATAAATGTCGTCTTCCTTTGCTCGATCGGGTCTCTCTTTGCCTTTCCCTTCGAATCTTTTGACACCATGGTGATCGTCTCTGTGTGTGATGCGATGGGCTCATGGCGGTGCTGTTTCCTGTGGACCAAGCAGAGCAGAAATTATTGCCTCAAATTCGGAACAAACACTGCAAAGTCAATTAATTGATGCACCATGAGCGATACTGTGGACATTCCGTTGCCCACAGAAACAGACAATCTTTTGAATATTCGAGATGTGGATGCGCCTCCCGTACCCGTGCCAGCACCGGCAGTGGATATGAATGCGGGCGGAAATGCCATTTTGGACATGATGGATGTCAATCCAACTCCTGTGAACATGGGGGCTCCGGCTCCTGTGGATTTTGGGACTACTGTCAGCCAGCACCTCACGACACACGAGCATCCTCATCATCAACAACAACAACACCCAATGGCATCGTTGCAGCATCAGACCATCCAAGTCCAGGGTCAATCTCTCCAACTGCCAGAACCCGCCAAGGCAGGGGAAGATCAAAACGAGCCATATGGAATGCCACAACAGCAGCAGCAGCAAGCCCCTCCTCCTCCAGCTGCGCCGCCGATTCAGGTATCGAATTCCGAACCACAGGACCAATCCCAGCAACAAGACATGCAACCTACGCCTCATGCAGGTGAACTCGTGGCGGCTGCCGCTTCTGTCGCCATATCGGCCCTCAACGCCTCCTTTGATACGGGTGCTGGCGCCTCAACTAATT